CTATAACATTTCCAATGGTTTAAAGAAAAGGTGAAGTGTTAGAAAATCGTACAAAGAGTTTCGCTGAACACCCTGTATATGTACAACAAATATATTATTACCTTTCTTCTCTTTGTAATCGTTCTGTTGCGTGCGCCAACCATATTTTTATAAATTGTGAAATTTCAGCTTCGACTGCATTTGGAATATGTCGTCTGACAACACCTAATATATAAAATGTAAAAAAATATTTGAAATGCTAAACAAAACATAAAAATATTGATCTATATATATTTATGCTTTTCTTAATAATATAAAAATAATAGAAACTTTTCTTACTTAATATAATTTTCCATAAATATAAATTACAAAATACAAGCTTCTTCTTTCCTCCAAACCAACTATACTCCGCCGCAATACTGTTAGTTAGTGTACGCGTTAAAATATTTGTAGTAATTGATTTTAAATTATTTCCTCCCACCATACTTAAAGTTTTTATCTGAAAACAGAATATTTCATAATTATAATACGTAAAAATTAAAAATATATACACGTAAAAATGTAAAATATATATAACTTTGAACTGACTACAGCCAATATTATATAAAATGTTATTGTTTCACATAGATTAATGTTTAACAGACATGTAGTGTATGTAAGAAATAATAATTAGTATTACTATTGAATTTTTATAAGATTCGTTTGTCTTCAAACGATGTTCAACTGTCTGTAACGTTTCCGGATCTTTAATAGGAAATTCATCAATAATATCATTTACAGAAGTATCTTCTTTCTGCAATATATTTGAAGTGTCCATTTTAGTCAATATATTTGTCAAAATATTTTCACAACGTTGCAGTGAAAGTTTTGTATTCACCATATTCTTAATAACAAATTGTTGAAATTCTTGTTCTCCTATAAATGAACATACTTTATATTTATTTCGTGACACAATATTTTTGTGCAAATAAACCGTTCATATAATGAAATATTTAATACAAGATATCTAATGAAAAATGTTATAGGATATATCTATAAAAGAAACAAAATTACTTTTGTAACATTTACTTTACATTATCAAAGGCTTTATATTATGACATCATGTGATGAACTGATTTTGTTGTTACGTGGCAGCTATAAGCAAATTACTTAATAAGTAACTGCAATAACTTGTAAATTTTGTAAATAACAAAAAATGTACATTGTAATGTTTTAATTTATAGTATGTGTTAAAGAGAGCTAAGCTATTACACACAGCTAAAGTCATGTAAACGTAATAAAGAGAAGGAAAAAACTATGATTATAGATTCGGACAATATTAATAGCAATAAATTAATAGCAATAATTTGAACGATAAAACCTTTTTATGTTACACTGTATTATCATAAACAATATAGTAATTATAAAACTGCACATACCAGCAGATATACATGGGTGCAAGTTTTCTTTACCATCTTCAACATCCTTGTCAATATAATTTTTTTTCATTGTCTTGGTTTTCATAGCAATGTCCGTTATTAAATGTCTTTTTTGGCCCTTCGATATAGTTGCGGAATGAGAGGGCAATATATTATTATCTAATTGGTGATCTTTGGTACTTGATCTTGATGATGAGGCACAGTGGGTGTCAACATATTGCACGTTTTCCAATTTACTATCAAAAATCATTTTCGTAGTTGTCATAGCTTTATTTGCAGTAATTGTAGAAAATGGTTCTAAAATAGATTCTTCATTTTGTATATCAGAATCTGTATCAGTGTCGTATTTTTTTGCAGCTCTTAATCTCCTATTTCTTTTTGATGTTTCTGCGTCACTCACATCAGTATTCAAATCTGAAGTAGTCTCAGCTAATTTTAATTTTTGTTTGCCAGATTCGAAAGATTCTGTAACACAGACAGACAAATTATTATTATGATAAACTGTATACTAATAGTATTATAATAATCATTGATCACAAGGAAGTGTGATCTGATCAAGGAATTGATCTGTATACTATAAATTTGTTACTTACGAGCACTACCTAATATTCTTACAATATCATATAAAATCCAATCTTTTCCAACAGGTAACATGTATTGCACAGCTTTGTCATATTTGTTAATATTAGTAAAATTTGGCCAGTATGCCTTCTTTTTAGACACATGAAACCAAGTGTGCGGTATAAGCTGCATTCCATCGTGAAATTCTATAATGTAGTAAGGACTTTCTTCATAACTCATGTTGATCACGTTTACCTAGAATATATTAATACACAACATAAAATGAAACAATATTATACTACATGTACAAACAAAAGTATTCATTGTATAGAATAACACAACAATATTTACAATATAAATAGGATACTCGTTCGTAAAATGCATTTTTAAATATCACAATTCTGTACTTTCATTTATTTCATTGTGCAGAAGAGGAATAACAATATACTCATCATTATTACATGGATATTTTGCATATTTTATAGTAACAGTACGTAATGGCCACATTTTCAATTTTGATAATCGTGATACTTTATATATACCAAGAACAGATGAATCACATGGTCTGTTATAATAATTTTCCTTATATTCTAACTGATTGCCTATTATTATTATGTCTTTGCTTTCGGTACAATATGCAATATTACGAAGTAATAATATTGTATTATCTTGTAATCCACAGCAATCGTTTGCCTCACTATTTGCGTCTAATATAAAATCAGTACACTTAATTGATTTGTATTGTGGGTCGCTTGATAAAGGTAATAATGGCCCATTGCAGTGATATGTAGATTTTACAGGATACAATTTTGCACTTTTTCTTTTTATTTCAGTTCTTAAATGTCGTGTTTCCTCATACCTTCGAAATAATTGTTGTAAAGGCTTTTCACTTTCCCGTATCATTTTTTTTACTATCTGCATAAAGTTCTCAAACTTAAAAGCACTAAAATTGTCCAGAATACCAAAATTTTTAACATCTTCAGTAAGATGACATAAATTATGTATATTATGTGATATATTATGTTTGCCATATAATCTTCCAAATGACTTAATAAAATGTTGTAATAATTTATCGGCATATTCCATATAAGCGTTTTTAGTGCTTTCATTACTTAATATTCTGATTGCTACATGCAAACTTATAAAAAGGTTATATTTGTCTTGTGGCAATATAGATTTCAGAACTTTTGGTCCAGTATATAGAAGTATCTGACGAAATTCAGTAGCTTTCCACACTTTTAAATATTTCAATGAACGTGGTTTACGTGAAAATTCTTTTGGTGTATGTTGTTTCATATTTTCTAATGCATCAGAAATTCTTTCTATATCACGATATTGTAAACGACATGTTCCACTTCCATTTACCCATAAGTTAAATAATTTTCGAGTAACACCTAAACATATCAAATGCATGTAATCTAGTACAATATCTTTTACACAATCTAGACCAGGAATTTGTTCTATTACACTATATGACATATGATAGGAATCATCTTGCATTCTATAACCCTCATCTGTACGTTTAGGGGCATTAATCTCAGGAAAACATATACGGTTTTGCTTAAAAACGCCTTCAACTGTACATTTTGTACAACTGTTATATCCAGTATGCCCTCTACATTGTAAAATAAACGATTTTGCAGGAGCATCACATACAAAATACTTTATTTTAAATTGATATTGAGAATTATTGATCACAATTCCATTGGTATATAAATCTATTGTTTCAGAAATAAAATCGTGTAAAAACTCATTAACGTTTTTCGGTTTCTCTTTGCCACAGTATACTCCGATAATGAACACTTTTCCATAGGGTACAATACACCCTAAAATAGGCCAAAATGAATTGCTGGAAGATTTACTAAGTGGAAGACCATCTATATTAATTGCTACTTCAATAATACTTGATGGCAAAATTTGTTTTTCAAGTATTGCTTCTTTTATACCATTACATAAACCAAAATGTATATATTCTCCAATCTCAATTGTTTTTATAACATATTTTAATGGTGTATTCAGCAATGATCTTCCATCCATAGGTAATTTAGAAAAACATTGATGACATTTTAATTCCTGTAATAGCGTAGATAGTGCAGTATGTGTTATGTGATTCCTTACAGACCAATTTATCAAAAATTGTTTCAACTTGGCAGTATCATCTAAATCATTTCCATGCTCTGATTGAGGAAATTGTGTATTTGAACTAATTATACTTTTATCAGACTCGGAAAATAAACAGTCATCAAAGTGCAATTCACAAGGTACTGCGGATACTATTACATTTTCAACATTTTCATTATCACTACTATTTATCACTATATTATCATTATGTGACAGTAACTTGTTTGCATCGGTATAATTATTAAAATTCTCAGTCGTACAAGGTGCAAATATTTCATTGTAATATTTCATACTTTCCACTTGTACCAATCTTCTATAATGCCTGTCGGTTATAGAATTAAGATCTTTTTTTGCTCTCTTTGCGTTACTCATGTTTATATCTCTACGAAAAGAAAATATATCGTAACGGATTATACACACACACACATACACACACACAAATTTTTATATTTCTATGTTATGTTCTTATCAAGAAGTTTATACTGCAATTCCAGACAAAATTATAAAACTCGTTACTTGTTCTCGTAAGACTCGTAAGAACTTATGAATACAATTGACACATAAGCTACGACTTCACGATTTTACGATTTACTCGTATATTTGCTTAGAATTGCAGCATTAGTATATTTTATTCACTTACCTATGTACGAATGACGATATATATTGCGATATATATAATGACGATATATACTAATGTATATGCGTTCAAAACGCTGAGAGTATATCAAACAATTGACACGTAGATTTTATTTGTTCACTTGGTCCATGTTCGTCGTTTGTCGTCCATATATAAATATATGGGAGGAAAAGGTTAGATTGTGGCACATACATGGTTTGTTCTTTTTAGCTCTATCAGTTCAGCAGTGCTGCGAAAAAGAACAAGCCTAAATGTAAACAGTAAGGAAATTGACCAATCTTAGTTTATTATTCGTTTTATTGTCCAATCTTAGTTAATTATTCGTTTTATTGTCGAAGAATTATTAACTGTTATTGGTCAATTTATTTACTATTTAAGTTTTACTACTTAAATTATATTTTGCTGCCATGATCCTTAATACCCTAAAAAAAATACACAATATCTGAAAACGCTTACCCACACAGCAGAGGTATCCAAAATATATCATAGAGACATCCTAAAGATATATTTGGGATATGTGATATCTTCAAGATATCCCTATGATGTATTTGAGACATTCCTGCTGTGTGGGATATATATGATTAGTATACAATGTATTGTAAATAAGTAGATACCATACCATAACCTGGTATATTGTATGTTATGTAGATTTTTTATAGTTCACGTTTAGTAGTATCATTTATTAGTATCTCATACATCCCTATCAATTTATGTCAATATATATGAAACATCATAGAGACGCCTGCATTATATTCTATATTTATCTTTAGGATGTCTGTATGATATATTTTATACATTCATCGTATTCGAGATAAGATATCTTTTGGATATTGTATACAAGAATATTTTCGAAATTTACTCATTATGATATACTGATGATATTATTAGGAGATTGAGATATATTTCGCATATCCGCGATGATTTTAGTATATCCCATTGATATCCATTGCTGTGTGGGATGGCTTTGTTTCATATTATAGATAAAACATTTAAAACATTGCGTTATATATCTTAACTAGATCATAGAAGTACTTTTGTTGCTGACATTTAGTGATACATGTAACATAGATGTATGGTGTTTGCTACGTAGCTGGTTACTTCGTGATCTTTACTGTTATGTATTTAAGACATATATGTCACATTATTGTGTTTGCTGGGTATTGACTTTCAGTTCGATTTAAACGATAAAAGGTACATCCCACGTAGAAATTGCCAAGCCAATTAAACTGGCCAAACATTGGTCCAGTATCGGCGGCCAAGAGTCGGCAACCAATTTTGTCCCGATACCGGTTGATAATCTGGCCATTCAACGAGCTATCATAAAATATAGATCTGGACTCAGTAAAGGCTGCAAGACAGGCCAAACACTAGCTTCGGTACAGACCCAGTATTGGGCTATAGATAATACCAATATTCGAGAATATTTGACGCTAAGTGTAGATCTCGTAATATAATTGTATATTACATTATAGTGAGCAAAAAGTTGTGTAACATTTTACAAATAATCATGCAAGTTTTGGAATTAATGATTAAATAAGACGATTATATATATATATATATATATATATATATAGGGTGTTGAAAAAAAGAGTCACATATTTTGATAGCAAGTAGTATTGATCAAAACAAGAAGAAAAGTTGTAATTAACATGGGTCCTAAGATTAATATCTTCTAAGATATTAGTTATTTGAGCTCTTTGTCATTTTCTTATTAGTCGTGACATCTTTAGAATGTAATGAACAAAGGAGTAGGGGAGAGTGGAGTACAATGGGAATATCTTTTTTCTAGGTGCCTTAAAAAATAAAAAA